TGCGGGAGCAACACCGAGGGTTGCGATCCCGTTGCCGGTCCCGGTCCGGTACGGGCGCGACACTGAGGGTTGCGATCCATTGCTGGACACGAAAAAAGACAAAAAGGAAAAAAATAAAAATAAAAATAAATAAAAAATAAAAAAAATAAAAAAATGAAGGTGAAATAAAGACATTTTCAGATAAATGAAACCTGATAAAATTTTACTGCTTACGCTATGAGAAATGCTAAAGGAAGTTCTTCAGGATGAAGGGAAATAATGCCAGATGGTAAACTTGAATCACAAAGAAGAAATAAAGAGCACTCAAAATGATTAACATGCAGGTAATTATAAAAGACTGTGTTCTTTTCTTCTCTTAATTTCTTTAAAATATATATTAACTATTTAACAAAAACTTTAGAATACTCCATGGTGGGGTTTATAACATATGTAGACATAATCTATATTACAATAATAGCACAAAGGATGAAAGTAGATTGAATTGTACATGCAAGGTTCTTGTATTTTACATGAAGTAGTACCGTATTAACTCTACATAGATTGTGATAAATTAACAATGTATATGTAAATCTCTAAAGCCACCACCAAAAAAGAAATACAGAAAGGTATAGCTAAAAAACTAATAGAAGAATCAAATAAAATCCCACTAAACACATTTGACTATCCCAAAAGAAGGCAAGAAATAAAGAACAAAGGAACAAAAAATATATGAAACAAATAGAAAACAAATAGCAAAATGGTTTTCCTAAATCCAGACGTTAATAATTATATTAAATGTAAATAGACTAAACAATTGAATAAAAAGGCAAAAATGTTCCACCTAGATAACAATATTTCATTATATGCTCCCTAAAAGTCACCCTCCTTAAAAATAAAGGCAGGGCCGGTCCCATGGCTCACTTGGGAGAGTGTGGCGCTGGTAGCGCCAAGGCCGCGGGTTCAGATCCTATATAGGGATGGCCAGTATGCTCACTGGCTGAGCGTGGTGCAGACAACACCGTGCCAGGGGTTGCCATCTCCTTACTGGTCAAAAAATAAAATAAATAAAATAAAAATAAAGGCAAACACAGGTTGAAAG